GAAACCAAGCTATTATCGGATTGGTAGGCCAAATTAGCTTTTGCATACTATAGTTTAATGTAGTATAGTAATGTAGTTTAATAGGCCACGGATGCTTGAGTCCACATACAACAGTCAATACCCCATAACCAACAAACAAATAAAAAGATAATCCTAACTTTTTACAAAAGAATAACCATTTGTGACAATTAATAGCGAGTAAGTATAAAAATTTAGCGATAGTGGTTTATCCGAATGCCAAGTTTCGTACTACAAGTCAAGTCCAAAAAGGCAAGACGGTCTTTATATACCCGGATGGGTGCATTTCGAACCTTTTACGTATCAGCTGTAGATGTATTAAAATAGACCTAACAAAATAAACAAAGTTATATGGATGGAAAAATGTATTTATGCACTACAAGTAAACAATTCTGCATCACACCGATGATTTTTCTGTCAGATATGAACTGTGCTATGCATGGTAACACAGCCACAATGTTGTGTAGTGCACAAAATGCGATTCCACATCCTAATTTTATGGGAATATGCCATCTTCTAGACATCATCAAAATGCTGGCCATAGCTTTCGTGAAGGAATCAGCGTACATTGCTAGAGCGATCGGCGGCAAAAGTTTGGGTCCATGAGACTAATTTAAATTCAGCTTTAGAGTTTGTGATAGCTTTGATGTAACGGAGGGTAACCGTAGGGTTTGAGTAGACGAAGTAACGCAGGGATGATGCGTGCCGTCGGGAGGTATTAAACCCAGGTCCAGTGCGTCAACATCTAGTGTGCCAAAATCCTAAAAGAACTGTGACTATATGGTTGGCGGCATCCGGTTTCGGATTTGCCTGTCACTGTGGCCAGCCACAGGACGCCTGCGCCTACAGAGGGACCATGGATGGCTTGCGCTGCACCACCCACAGCTCCAACCACATACCCCATATCCAGTGTAAACCCGAAGGAATAAGACCGGAAGGCATGCGGATGGGAACCACGTTTCATCAACGGAGCCGGCCCACACTCCTTCACAGGCAAACACAAGCACGCTGTATTTGGGGAATCAAGCGCACACACACACACTGTGACTATATAGTTGCTTCAAAATACTCCGCAGATCATAGCACTTGCAAATGCCCAGAACAGTTTGATGTACGTACTGTTCTAGCTGTTTAGGTTTGATGGTGAGGCAGAAAAAATAGTTGACCTATTGGCACTTAGATTTGTTGGCTCGTACAATTTTGTTCCAAGTATTTTTCGGTAGCGTTAAGAAAACTTTTCCACTCAAAGTGATTGTCTTATTATTACAAGTAAGATTTTACCGTAATTATTTCCATCGTTTTGGTGGTCGCACTTCAGCAACAAATCTATCTTCGTGAAAACCAACAGTTCGATTGAACGCAGCCTTGTATGCTGTCCTGCTTCAGGTGTTTCCATGATGGATGAACGTCGGAGAAAGTGCTTTTTGGGAAAATGTCTTCTAATATTAGATGAAGAGTTTTTAGACGTCATCAATGAATTATTACGTAGCATACAGTGACAGATATACTGACCACCTACTTGATGTAGCACACTGCAGTGTGCACTCTTCGATGCAATGTCTAGGAAAGTTACGATTTAGCCCGTTCGGTACACAGGACTTGTAGCTCCCTTTGAGCCAGTATCTTAAGCGACGGCAATAGAAAAATCAATGTCAACTACAGGGTTATATAAAAACGGGTACTTCAGCTGTAACGAGATTCGTTACTGCAGATTAAGGAAATTATTAAATTCATTTGCTGTTTCATGCGGTGCCACAAAACTATGACCGAACCAGGCCTACCGACAGATCAAACTCCATGACGGATCGCGTGAGTACTCCGCTTATAATCCTCCAGATTGAGCTAATCAGCTACGCAACCGTACTTCGCAGAATAATCTACAAGCCGACTTTAACGCTTACTTACTATTTGCCGACCAATTGCACGTACGATCCTAAAGTGTAAAAGATGGTTTCGGCTGAAGTCACAATGACCCCCTTGTTTGATGCCTTCTATTTCTAGAGCTAAATACTCACCCTTTCCGAGTGTCTGTAGTACTTCCTTGACATGACTTGAAATAGATCCATTTATCTACACATGGGTTCAGGTTAGACTCCAACGCAACATCAGCAGGCCACAGACAGCAGAATCTCGTCTATGGTCTTATGAAGCACGCGTTGTGCCGCCATGTTAAATCCGAACTGCCCATGAGAAATGCAACTTCTGCAAAATTTCGGCTGATTTTCAATCCTACTACCGAGGAACTAACGATTTTTTAAAGAAAATATGTTATCTTAACGGGGTCATTTGTTCCAGTTGACTGCCATTCGTGTACTTTCGGCGCACTGCGGCAGTCACCACTACCAGGATGAAACGTGTGTTGTAGGAAAATCGAACAGTCGCCAGACAGCCAAGGTCGCATAAAACCACACTGATCACGTGCTTGCCACATGTCTCCCAACGCCACAAAGTTGATAAAACTCGGTTATTGGAAAACCATTTTAGAGTTAAGCAATCGTACAGAAGTTGTCCATGCTACTGCCCCAACTAATACGATCGGAGATCACTAGGGTCCGCTTTATGTATATTCACGGAGGTAGGTCAATAAGGCATAGTAGCTGCTAGAAATTTTGTATATGCCTAAAGCCGATATTTTTTCCTCCACGATAACGTCAGCGTTTCGCAAGATAATAACTAATTACATAAATTTAAGGTATAAGGTCATAGGACACCAGATTCTTGATCAGTTTGTGCAACTTTATCAAAATTACTAGTGAATTAGGATGTATTGGTCAAATCAAGCATTTCAGATGCTTGCTGAAAATATGTACTTGACGTAAAACACGAAAGGGATGTTTAAAATGTTTCGAAATACTGGTAGCTCGGGTTGATGAAGCAATTGTTCATTTGTTCTCCGAGCTTGGCGGTTTTCTCGCAAACGTTTCACCACCATGCGAGGTGGCATCCTCAGTGCAGTGATATGCAGGGCTCATGGCAGAGATGGTTATGCAGAAATTGGAGGAGGAGGTACTACCACTCGTCAACCCGAAACTGTGGGTTCGGTATGTGGACGACACTTTTGTGATAATCAGACGCAACCAAATAACAGTCGCACAACAACTATTGAATAACGCCATGGAAGGCATCCGATTTACAATGGAACTGGAGAAAGAAGGACAGCTCCCTTTCTTGGATGTATTAGTAACAAGAACTATGGAAGGCGAGCTGCAAACATCGGTCTACAGAAAAGACACACACACAGACCAAATTCTGAACTTTAACAGCAACCACCCGAAATGCCACAAAGTAAGCTGTGTGCGGACACTGTTTCGCAGAGTGCAAACACACTGCAGTACAACAGAAGCAAAGCAAAAGGAAGAAAAACACCTACTTAAATGTTTCCAACTCAACGGATACCCACGAAGTTTCATCCGAAGGTGTCTGAATCACAACAACGTCAACATACAGCCTACAACAACAACAACAACAGCGGCGACAACAAGCACGACAACAGCGGCAGCGGCAACAACAACGACAACGGAGAAACGGGTTGTTCTGCCTTATATGAAGAACATATCGGAAATGGCAGCCAGACTATTCAAACAGCATCATCTCATCGTAGCACACAAACCAACTGCCACGTTGAGAAAAACCCTTTCAAAACCAAAAGAAAAACTGCAAGCACATGAACAACGCAATGTAGTATACAAAATACCTTGCCGAGATTGCGAAAGGGATTATGTTGGCCAGACGGGAAGAAAATTGGTAACAAGGATACAAGAACACAAGAGAGCCTGTGTAAAGCATTATGCATCGTCGCTAGTTTCAATGCATGTAGATGAAGAAGGACATAGCTTCGATTGGAGCAAAGCAGAAGTCCTGGCACGAGGTGAAACAAGAAAAGAAAGAGAATTCTTGGAAGCTTGGTTTTCAACGAAACATTCAATCAACATGCACATGGACATCGATTCAGTATACGAGCCACTACGACAGAAAGACCTAAAGAACCATTCGTCACGCGGTTTGAGACAGAACAACTCGGGCGCCGACTTTAGCCTTGGGGAAGTGGGTGGAGGTCACGGGACCTAAATCGACACTGCCACGTTCAAAGTCACCTGCAGGTCGATCATGGCTGGAGGACTCATTTAGTAAACTTACACGCTGCATATCACTGCACTGAGGATGCCACCTCGCATGGTGGTGAAACGTTTGCGAGAAAACCGCCAAGCTCGGAGAACAAATGAACAATTGCGAAAGGGATGTATTTAACGCTTTTGACCTTACCATTTTGTCAGTAGGTTGCAGGGCACTTACGCTTATACTCGGAATTACACGCGAGAGTAAATTTTAAGGAAAATAACTCGTTCATTTTTTCTTGCGTATTTCTAGAATTATATGATGTGCTCTAAATGAAGTAAGATCGTTTCCCAAAGTTGATTTTTACCATTTACAATGGCGTTTTGGGTACTACCCGTAGAAGAAAGAAGACAGACTTGTTGGGCTTACAGTTCAGATAAAAAGGCATTTTGTAGAATATTAGAGAGGAACAGTCACAGAAGACACGGTTTACGTTAGCTCTGCAGAACAACAGTAAATCAACAGTTATGAAAGTGGCAGTTTACACAATCACAAAATGTTACACTGCTGGACACTTAAACTCACCGTAGTATGCAGTTTTAATTGTCTGTCAAGGAAATAGGTAAAAGACGAACCCACTGAGAAATATTGCATTAGTGGGAGATAATGCATCTGCTGAAAATCAAATGTGAATTTTATGGTCATAAAAAAGTATCACCTGTACATTAAACGCAATCTTCCCATACGATGGCTGTAAGATATGGAGGCGAACGGCGGACACAAATGTATATAACTGGCAGCGTCAGCTGTACTAAAGGTCGAACTCAGTAGAATGGTTAAATTAACTCGATTACTTAGAAGCAAATGCGTTATGCAATGGGAAGTGTTAATAGGTGTTGATTCTACACCCAGATAGGATATGACGTTTACAAATGGGAAGGCTGTGGTGGAGTGTTGACGCCGTGACAAAGCAATTTCATGGAGCTGAGAGCATCTGCACCTCGCGGTAGATCCAGTTCTACCATTGACATTTGCCGACCAAAATATTTCTGTGGTAACAACGGGCAATCCCTGTCCCCGATATCCGAAATTTTTCGGTCAGTGGTATCGCCAGAATGGGTTGATAAACTGGTCAGACCAGGCGCTGGGTCTAGGTTGACCAACTCTGCACATGTACGCTTCCCTGGAGATCCCGTGGCCGGTGCATTCTCCGAGACGCTTGTATCACCGGAGTGCGACGTTATACTCGACCGGGATGATGTTACTGTGAAGAAGGCAGAACAATTGTTGCAAGTCATCAGAAGTAGCAAAGAGTTTAAACTATTGAACATGCAACAGAACTTCATATAAGTGTATGCGACATGTGGGAGGAGTAATTCGGAGGGGTATGCAGTAAATGTTTATTCCAAGTTCTGTGAAATAGATGAGTTAATTAAGGCGAATTCAACCAAGGTTCTAGCCTATGGAAGTAGATGAACTCTATAAAGTGATTTGGCATGCTTTTCTCCTGCTACTGAAAATAGCAAATTATCTTCGAATTCATGTGTTCGCTTGTGTCTTGACAACTGACCAGTCTTAGCTTAATCAAATTCTGCTTTCATCGACACTGCCTGACCAAGCAATGGAATTTCGATCAACAATCATGCGGTTATACAAACAATTTATAAAAAATGCTCAGCAAGCATTTGCAGTCTGACACTCACCTTACAACACAGATCCTGTTGCTACACTGGTCTGCGGGTTAGCGGTCCCGGTCAGTCCATTATTGGCTGTGTTAACAAGCTTCTTTCTTGTTGGATTGCTTCATATATTGAAATTATTTCGTGTGAATTACGACCTCGTGCAGTTTTATTTTTGTTTGAATTTTTCAATCATGAATACTTTTGTTATCTCCATGTAACTCCGAAAGCTTACTATGGCCATGTGCTCCACGCTTCGTCGCCATATTGGTCTCGGAACATTCACGATACAGAAACAATCACCCTGCGGCGCTTGTTCCAAGGTTATCAACATCCAACAAAGGTACTCACCGTTGTTATGTATTAGGTTAACTTCCACATTTTATGCATTGGACTGTCGAGTGAACATTTTCGACGTTTTGGAGCAATTCAACATGATTTCGTTCAAATTTTTTTGGCACGAAATGTAGCCGGAGAAAGTAGTGCGGAATCACAAGTCGCCTTGCGGGCTGACTCTTGTCGTTGCGAGCAGCTCTGTGTGTTTGGCACAACAGGCTAACCCGAGATGCCACCGGTTCCCATAAGCTTTTCTGTTCGTCCTGTGAAAACTCACTGACACGAAGTATTGTGGTTGCGGACAGCCCAGATTCACCTGTGTTGTATCCTACGGCCACAAATGTCCACGTGTGTGAAAGCCTGCGTACCAAAGACCCGTTAAAAATGCAAGGAAACAAAAGTCAGAAAAAGAAAAAGAGTTGAGCCGCTGCAAATTAACGACAGGTTAGACCACATGAAGCTCGGAAAACCCTTGTTCTTAAGATTACCCTTTACCGACCGGAGACGTTTTGACCTCTTGATCTTTCAAGCTCCTGAGTCCAGTGACCCAGCCCCCGAGATACACTACGATCATGACATCGAGGTTTTGCAAGGCTTAATTGATAGACTCCTCGACGTGGGTGAGGACGGGTTGAAAGTGGTGCAAATAACCCGCAGTGGAAAGGGACATGACCAAAAAAGTCGGTCAATGAGAATCCTCTTTGCGGACAAAGCCAGTCCGAAACTGACCTTATCCAGATTATTAGGTTGAAAGGTTCCAAGATCTATGTTCGTCCAGACCTGAATACAGTAGATCAATAACCGCTAAAGTCCTCCATCATTCAGCTGAAGAGACGAAATGGTCATGGGGAAACAAATCTTCGTATGGTAAATTTTCGGACAGCCGCCAAGATTCCGTATGGCAAGGTAAACAGATTGCACACCCGGCGGTTCCTGCTGCGGCCTGCGTGTAGCCTTTACCAATGTTTGCAGTCTTATGAACAAGCTGCATGGACTGTGTCGTTTTGCTGCATCTGAGGGGCCAGCTGTAGAGGGACTTGCAGAGATGTGGCTGAATTATGAGGGAATAGCCCAGGAAATGCAATTAAATGGTTAAGCATGCTTCCGCTGTGAAAGACTATCGAATGTCCGCGGTGGTCTTCTTTGCGTGGGAAACTTGTTAGCGTCTGCAGAAGCCACCATGGCCTATGTGCGCAGCTGGGGTGCTCGATCCACCTCAGGCGCGGAGAGCTGCTCGTGGGTACAGTTTGTCGCAGTCCGCTCAGCCGCTGTTTGGATTAGCTGCGTAACTCGGAAGCGACATACGTCGTCCCAATTTTTACTCATGGACAATTTCAATTGCTCTGAGTGTGCTGGCCTGATGCCCAGCTTATGCCCGGATATTGCAGGATCGAAGCAAACTTCAGGGACTCGGTACTTGAAAGTGGAGCAGCGCAACAAATATGCTATGTGGTAGCTATAACCCGGCGCTCGACTCCGTCGTGCTTAACGCTGCTATTAATAACATGTGGACAAAAAGTGTATGACCTTCAGATCCTGGAGCCTTCAGTAGCAGTTGGTCACTTAGTACCAGTAGGCAGCATTGATCTACCCATACCATATTCCGGTCCACTGGAGTCCGCATACAATTACTGAAAAACTGACCGACGGTCTAACTAGTGCCTGAAGTCAATGGCATTGGACTATATCGCAAGCTATATCTGTGGAAGGCTGTTAGATTAATATGAAAGAGGAAGCGACATTACTATGTTCTTGACTCACATCGCTAAAGTGTCGGACAGCTGGAGCAGTCAATCTAACTGGCTTGACAGGGAGTGTGGTGAAATGACTGGGTGGCGACGTCACTTGTGGTACAACTTCCTTTTCTCTTCCAGTGATTACGGGGTGTATACAAAGCAACAAAATATTAGCCATAGGGTAAAAACCAGCAACCGCTGGCATTTCGAAGACCTGATTGCAACTATCACAAAGGCCGTGTCAAAGAGAATCGTGGCATAAATGAAATAACGCCTAAAACCGGAAGGTGATATATATATATATATATATATATATATATTAAACACTATACCAATTACGATATAATTGGCTGAGTGCCACAACACATAAGGAGCAAAAAGGATAGTGTGAAAGGGAAAGCAACTGTTAGGGTAGAAGAGTCGCACAGCAAGTGCGCCATTGCGAACGGTCTTCGGCCATATGCTCCAGTGTTTGCAACTAGGTGTGCTCGGGGTCCTTTAGGCCCCCAGCCGGGAGTCAGGAACGCCTGACAACAGCCAGCTTCAACGTTTGCGTCTTAACGCATTAGATCCAAGTTTTATATTGTGCGCCTTTTCGTCGCTTCCAAGCCAAGCCTGTGCTCGCAAATAGGGCTCGTCGTGGTAGCCGCTGGGTAGGCATGCGAAGCACATGCCCAAGCCAGCGTAGCCTCCGCAGTGAGGTGATGCTATCAATCGATCGGCGGAGTTCGTTAGATCTGAAGACTCACCGACGGATTTCCTCATTACTGTTGTGATGCTGCCATCTCACACCAGCAACGTTTCGCAGGCAGCGGTGATCGAAGACAGATAGCCGCTGAACATCGCTTTGCGAACGGGCCAAGTCTCACAGCCGTACAGCAGAATCGCTCGTACCGTAGCATTATAGACTCGTCCTATGAGACCGAGAATGTGATCACGACGAAGCCACAGGTGACGAAGGTTAGCGAAAGCGACTCTAGTCTTGGAGACGCGCAGGGGGATCTCATCTGTCAAAGCGCCAATACTAAGACAACTTCCAAAATAAATGAATTTGTCGACCACTTCGAACGGATGACCCGAAAGGTGAGCGAAGGACATGCGCTTGGCCAGTCCTGTAAAAGAACCTTACATTTGGAAGGGGCAACACTTAACCCGAATTGGGCGGCGGATATCTCCAGTCTGAGCAGCACATGCTGGGGGGCTTGGGAGGACTCGCAAATCATAGCGATGTCATCGGCGTACTCTAAGTCCCGAAGACGGTCAACAGGGAGCAGTACAACACCGCAGGACTCAGAGTTATCCAGGGTAGTATCCAGTATCTCGTCCATGGCGACGTTGAACAAGAATGGAGAGGCTGGGCAACCTGTCTAACACTGCTAGTGATACTGAAAGGGGGCGAAATTTCTCCGTATGCTCGCACGCGGCCCGAAGTTTGATGGTAAATAGCACGGAGAATGCTGATGTACTTCTCAGGTACTGTCCGCTTCAGTAAGCAGTCCCAAAGAGCCACTCTGTCAACAAAGTCAAAAGGACGCAAATATCCAAGAATATAGTTGGTCGACTGAACGTATGGCGATGTTCAAGTATCTGGCGGATCGTAAAAATGTGATCGACGCAACCGCGACCCGGGCGAAATCCAGCTTGTTGTTCACGCAAGTGCTGTTCCCGTACGCCACTGGGCCTCCGTAAGCGTAGGGCAGCGAGCAGTTTGGATGCGACATAAATGGGACCGATGCTACGATGGTTGGAGCAAATGGTCCGGTCCCCAGTTTTGTAAACAGGTACAACACCCCGCTAAATTCCAGTCGGGTGGAATGATTTCAGTAGTCCAAATCTGATGGACTGGAGATGTCAGTTCGCGAGTAAGAGCAGAACCTCCATATTTGAAGAGAACAGGAGAAAGTTCATCCGGGCCAGGTGACTTGTGACGTTTTAGTAGGCGAAGCTCATTGGAAACCTCAGCCTCTGTCGGTGGAAAAACATCCACACACCAGGGAGCGCTGTGAACCCCGGAAGATAGACTCGGTTGCGCTGCTGGCCAGTTGCATTGATATTCAAAGTGCTCCGCCCTTCGTACCAGACGACGGTAACGACTGTGAACTAGTTCACCGTCATTTTCAAACGGTTAGCCTCTAACCCTCCGCACTGAGCGTGCTTCCGCGCTGGCGGCGCACTTCGCTTCCGTATTTGTAAATGACCAGGTGTCTGCGCCGAATTCGACGTGTGCTGCGCTTACTGTACTCAGCAGTCTAGAGTACGGTGTTGAAGTAGTGTATCAACTACTCGCGAACCTTGACGACACAAACCTGTTGGCCGGACGGACTCCACCCACTGATTTTCAAGTCCTTATCGGTCATCATCTCGCCTGTCGTGACTGACTTTTCCAGCAGGTCCGAAAGTTTGTTAACGATTGTTTGGAAATGCCCAGTGGTAAGGCCGATTCCAAAAGCAGCGGACCACGACAAAGTGAACAGTACAGGCCGATTTATCTGACACTAATTTTTGCCAAGTTT